AACTCGAAGTGATGAAGATGTGGTTCTATAGACGGATGCTGCGGCAGAATGAAGACATGAGAGACGAGCAAATTCTAAAGAAAATGGGAAACTTACCATCTCGCTTTCAAACTCAAAATGAAATTAGGCCATTCAAAAGAATCACCCACAACAAATGAGAAGCTCACTAACCAGGAGAGAGATACAGAGCAAAAAAAAAAGAGTTGGAAGGACTATAAACAAGTTAATCTGTAAATTAAAAACAAAAGGATAAAAACAGAAATCATGAATGAGATGAAAATTAAGGCTGGCACCTTCTACAATCACAAATCTAGCTAAGAGTAACAAGTTTTAGCCTGTCTGGTTGCCTAAACGAATTCAACTACTTGTCTGGCTCCTTTTACACAAGCCAATCTAGCCTTGTTTACCAATCTTGCACAAGAACCTATTTTTGATAAAGTCCAATGTTTTCATTCTATTTTGGTTGGCACTATTCGAAATTGGTTGGCTCTGTTCCATTTTGATTGGCACTATTCTCCTTTTGAAAATGAAATGGTATAGAAAGACATACTTAACGTCAGAAAGATATAGCTGATATTTTGGGGAAATATTATGAGGAATGACGGCTTGGAGAACTTAATGCGCACAGGGAGTATTGGGGGAGGAAGTAGTAGATGGAAACAGCGAGCAACTTACCTGATCAGTTTGTGTGAATGGATTACAGAGTATACAAGAAGAGATGGTTGCTTAAAAGTTGCTTAGAACTACAAAGTTAGGAAGTTGTGAGGAGGGGGAGGGCATTACTGTTCACGTCCTGATGGAACACATCACATAAATGGAGTTGAGTAGCAACATAAGTTTCTCTTATTTTAAACTTGCTAAATAAAACTACATGATTTATTAAGGGCTACCAAAATATAAAATATCAAATTTTTAACACCTTGACTGTCACGACATAACTTGTAGTTGGCAGATTTATTCTGATTAAGGGGTTAATCTTGTGCCTGACAGACAATGTGTTAATAAAGTTCAGCATCATTGCTTTTGCTACTTCCCTCATAAGATGTAAAAATTGCTTATTACCCCACGGCATCATAAAATATAAGAATTGTTATTGCCTGAAGGCTTCACAAGATGTAAGAGTAGCTATTGGCTCAGGACATCATAAGAGTTGCTACGGCTTCAGGTCATCATAAGATTTAAGAGTTGCTATGGCCTCAGGGAATCATAAAATGTAAGAGTTACTATTGCCTCAGAATATCATAAACTGTAAGAAATTCTATTGCCTCGGGGCATCATATGACGTAAGACTTGCTACGGATTCAGGTCATCATAAGATTTAAGAATTTCTATTGTTTCAGGGCATCATCAGATTTAAGAGGTGCTATTGCCTCTGGGCACCATAAGATGTAAAATTTGCTAATGCCTTCAGAGTATCACAAGATAAAATAGATGCTATTGTCACAGAGAATCATTAGATATAAGAGTTTATATTGCATCAGGGCATCATACGATGTAATAGTTAATATAATTATGAAGAAGAATGGTAGTGTTCTTGAAACTTCTTTACTGGAAGAACTTAATACATGATCAATATTAATTGTACATTGGTTTCATGAGATTTTCTTATTAAATTCTAATCTTAGTTTTATTTCTATAGGAAACTCTTATGCCAAGATCAGAGTATCAACTAGGTTGGCATATTCTTTCCACAATCAGTATTTAATGTACTGTAAGTTGATAGTATTTATTATGACACTGACTATGAGTTCGCCTGGCATTTTTTGATATATTTTCATCTGCCGGCTCCAAGAAAAAATTTATTCGCAATGATATGTTCAGTGTGAAAACAATGTTAAGACCTCAGTTAAAGTTATAAATTAACTTAGGTACCTCCACGAGATCGCTAAAAAAAGAGCATAGCATGGTGTAAAAGACGCCAAACTTGACGAAAACAAAATTTTATCGTCTAAATGTTTATGTTATTATTAAGAGGAAAGATCAAAGAACTTATTGGCTATTTTTTTTATATTTTTAATCGTTCCTAGCACGTCCTAAATTTTCGTTAAAAATCTTGTTTCTTTTAAGTCAGCAAAATTGACAGATAATCGATCATGTCAACCACTTTTTCCATTTTATAAAAAAAAATGAAAATCTCAATTTGAAATTCTTTTAAAAATCAATCATCATTTTTTTCAAAACTTATTTTAAGAAAATCAGAAATTATAATGTTCATTTAAAATATTTTGAAACAAGCTTAACTTAGCTTCTGCGCCGAAAAAATGTAATTTGAAAATAAAACAAAGCAGGTCATAAACTTTCGCATCACTTGACAGGTGATGAATGACATATTGACGGATTACGTGAGGATAATTTGTTCTACGGAAGGAGAAAAGTGAAATTATTTGCATTTAAGTGAACAAATTATTTACCTCGTGATTTTTTAAGGAAAACTTTCAGCGCTCTAATTTTTGTTTTTTGTTTTTTGTACTTAGCTTTCACCTTTACGTTTACGATGCTTTATGGAAAATATATTATAAAGAAATTAAAATAAGACTGTTAAAAGTAA